CTTTCCCTTTTTTATTTCTCATTTTGACAGCTTCTGCCAAAACACTGTCTGGTCTGTTGGAATGGGAATGTAAGACAGATGCAGTGGAAGCTCTCACTGTACTTAATCACTACCAGATAAGAGTCCCAAGTAAGTCAATTTTACTGATCTTACTGCTATAAATTTTTTTCTTGTTTTCTTTCATGTTGATACTGCCTTTGTAAAAGGTGAGGCTTCAGCAGCTCAGTCTGCAGCTAAAAACTGCATCGTTCTTATTATATGTATATATATGCTGTATTTTTTATATATATATACACATATACTGTACTATATATATTACTATACAAATGCAAAAGAGAAATCTGCAATATTTTTGGGCAGAAGGTTCTTTAAGTTACACAGTTTACTGCTCTGAATTAACTGCTCCTGTAGTGGGTTCTCTTTCAAATCAGAAATTGTGAGGCCAAGCTGAGTTTAGCTCCAAACTAGTAAGAATAGAGGGGGAGTTCACCTGCTAAACAAGTACACAATAGGCCAGATGTACACTTCAATTAAGATAGTTTACTGGATTAAATGGAATTTTTCTGGGTGTTCGTAGACATAACTTTGAATCCAGCCCAGTATCTAATATTATTTTAAACCTACCTTCTCCAAACTATTACAGCTTTGTCTCCCTGTCAAGTGTAAATCTTTCCTACCCCTCCCCTCCGCCCCTCTCTTGTCCACCTTCTCAATAATGGACTGAGATTACTTCAAGGGCAGAATATTTTTTTACAATACTATTGATAACATACTGTTCACAATTTCAGATTTATCTTAGTTTGGAGAGGTGATAACAGCAGAAGAACTTACTCTTTCAACATGAAAAAGGCAAACCCTAATGTATAATCAAATATAGCTATCACAGGAAAAGACAGTGTTCTGAAACAAAGACTTTTCTCAAACACATCTCAATACTGTCTAGTGCCACTCTGTCTCTGACAGAAATGCCACATTCTAAGTCTTGACTTCCTTAAATATCTATGCCTTTTGTCTTTGAAATTGCCTGTTAAACACTACTTTTATAAATAGTTCAGCTAGGAAGAGGGGCAACGATAATGGTAGTCTATCTTGTGTATAGTACAACATTTGGAACTCTATCTACATTCCCTTGCGACCAGATCCATCACTTTGTTTTTATGTCTAAAAAATGCTGGTAGACTATCAGTAATGCTTGCTTACAGGTCATCTGGTGCTTGTGGGCCGCTGGCGGGTGTAGGCGGGGAGGTGTGAGCCTTAAGTCTCCAGAATTGGTAAACTTGTCAGATTATGCAAGGTGATCTTGATCAGCAGTAAAGCTATGCTCAGTAAAATGCCCTGAGTATGTTACATGTTGTCTCCTGACAGATGGCTCCAACCCTTATACCTTGAAGCTTTGCTTCTCTACTTCATCCCATTTATAGAGAAGAGGACAGCATGTTAAGAGCTACATTCACCTTGATTTGCAAGTTTAAAACTACACTTCGTTCACAAAGCTCTAAAGTGGTTGTTCTAATGTTGCCTTGTTTCAACTTAATTCTAATATCTTTTATCTTGTTTTATAATAAATGGATGTTCCTTCATAAATACAAACCAGATTTTTTCTTTTTGCCTCTGAGAAGTACATGTTGTAAGCTTACTACAAAGTTTGTATTTTGTTAGTGTAGTATCTTCAAATGTCTAAAGAAGCACCAGTAGTATAAAAAGATTGTTTTCTTCAAAAAATGAAATATATTTGCATTTTCGATAATGTTAAAGATTAGCAAGTATTTTTCCATTTGTAGTCTTAATTGGCAGATAGAACTATTACATCAGATTTTTAAATGTAGAAATTGTTTTTCAGTATGTTAAGTAGTGAAGTATGTTGCAATACTTAAAAAGCTTGTATTTATAAAATGCTTTAATCAGGTTAACGTTGCACATACCGAATTTTTAGTAGTATAGACTTGATTTATAGTTCAAACGAAGCTAATGTAGAAAATTATTAAGTATGTACACGTGTATGGTGTGAATTCATACTTATTTAAAGCGGTTTTTGGTTTTTTTAAAAAAACTATTTTCCATTTGCATTAGCATGATGCCATCTATAGCTCGTCCCACCGTAGGGGCCTTTTAAAAATTAAAATTGCAAGCCTGTATCAATGTGTTCATCCTCATTTTCCATAATTTAAACTTAAATCTTCGGTGTTTAACATATCCTCTTGACTTTTTTTTTTTAAAGTAGTGGTTATGACATGCTAAATGGTAAAAGTTGGATATGTGAGAAGATTGAGCGCAATAGAAACCAAGGTGGTAAAAGTAGTTAAAACAAAAAGCAAGCCCCACCATACTCTCTCATACCTGGACAGTTAATTCGATGTTTTCTTTTGTCTGTTTATCTTATACATCTGTTATGACCATGAAAGAATTCATAGGGTGAATAGACTTGGCTAGCCTCTCACTTAAACTGAGGTAATCTAGGTGGGATTCAGATAATGTAACTAATTACATAATGTGAAATTAATGAGGAGAGAAATATTTCACTTTTGGGAAGATGATTTGTTTTGTCCCAGTACTCTGAAACCTCTGTTCTCTCTTCTAGAACTGGAGTTGCATCTTACTTGGGCTAAACCCCCAGAACTGGGAATCCAAGCAGGGAAGTCTGGGAGCTGTTGTCCTAGGCTCTGTGTTTGTTCCCTTTTCTGAATTTGCAGCAAGGTGTTTAGGGCTTCTTTTAGTTCTGCTCTTGGTGATCAGAGAGTATTTGTTTTATCAGATATTTTATGTTTTATCATACAAGTTCTTTGTTCTGTCTTTACAGATTTTATCCATGACCATCCTTAATGCAAGATTATTTGTGCAGTGTGCTTGTCCTTGAGAGATTATGTTGCAGTGTGTTTACAGGTTGTGGGCATTGCACAGGTCTCTAAATACAGACTGGATTTTCCCCATTCTTAATTTCAAGGCAAACACATTTTCCCTTGTATGATAAGGTGGATCAGCTGTCCTTCAGGTTTTCTCATCAACAATGATTCATTTTTGCCCTGTCTACCTCCATTTTGTTCATGCTTCAGGTAATGAGTATTTCAGGTATTCAAATCAGGCTTCTAGTGTCTGAACTGGGAACTGAAGGACAGCTGCTCTTTGGCAGCTCTTTCTGCATAGGGTTTGGAATAATACTAGCCTCCTGTCTGGTAGGTGGCACACTTACTTGCGTTTTAGGGGTACTGCTAATACTCTTTCAGCCTCAGTACTTTTCCCCCAGAAATTGCTTCCAGAGAGATCCAGCATAGAAGGCTATGTGCCGTCTCTTGCTACTGGCCAACAGAAATGCTGGGTACTAGTGAAATGTTCTGTGCTGCATAGTGTTTTAACTGTAAATGGTCTCTCCCAATCATTCATTTCTCTTCCATCAACTTGAATGTTCTGTGGAAACCTGTTTCTTCTGTCATAACTTGCATTGCTATTTGTATTAATGTAGTCTCAGAAGTCAAGTTGTTTGTAGTAGAGCATTAAAAATAGTATGTTATCTGTTGGTCCAGTTTGGGATGTAGGATGAGTGACCCTTACAGCATTCAGGGCTTAAAAAGAAGAAGAAGAAGAAGAAGAAGAAAAAAAAGCACTTTAATGTGTCCGTGTCCTCAGTGGATCACAGCATTCAGTGCCTAAGATGTTCAGGTGAAAGGCATCTTTCCTGTGGCTGCCCAGATCAAACAGAGGACAGACTAGTTCCAGGTGTATCTGAGAGGACTTGATACCAGCTAGAAGTCCCAAATGCAAAATGAGTAGCCTGTGCCATGTGGGGAAGAAAAGAGAGGAGACTGAAAAATTGCTAAAGTTTCTTTCTCCTTAAAATAATCATCTTATTCATGTAAAAGTTGATAACAGGAAAGATTCCTTGTTGGTGTTATGCTTCACCTGCCTTTGTTGGGCAGGTGAAGAGTTAGTTACTCCAAGGGGAGTGAAGTTTGTCTATCATTTGGCAGTGGTATTACTATAATTGTTAGATTAAAATTAAACAATTAAGGTCTCTCAGTGCATTTTTTCTGTCTCTTTTGCATAAGCCATACAAGCAAAATAGTGAACATTGCTATGCACATTCCCTGCTTGTAAGCAGCTGGCATTCACACTGTAATATCTTCATGTCTGTTCCACTGTTTGTTTTGTTAAAAAAAAAGTTTATTTTTTCTAATTGATCACCTTTCATTGGAGGTAAATGATATATTGAGGTGGAGATCTGTTTGTCTTCTCTCATGATACTCTAATCAGTGTTTATTTTTCCTTATATGCAAGAAGGGGGAATAGTTGCTTTTTGACTTTCTATACCACCACAGCAAGATAGAGTGTATCGCTAGGGTGATAATAAGAAAATACTTAAAAGAAACCATTCAGAAAGTGTTTGGGTGTCCTGCTTTATGAAAGGAATGATACAACTTAATGTGGTGTCACTAAGTCTGTCTTTTAGTAAGGGATACTGTTTGGGGTAAGCTGGCTTGTAACTGGCTGAAACCCACTTTGTTGTAATTAAATGCAACTTGCTCCTTTTCCTGCTGTGTGTTTTCTTGTGAACAGTGCTTTGAACTTGTTAGAATATTATGATAGCTTAGCAGGAGACATTCAGTCTCTTCTGTTAAATAATATGTCGAAGCCTGGGAACGTGAACATGCTTGCTCAAACTTTTTTTTTCCCACTTCTGGGATGTGTTTAAACATCTTTGGGATTTTTTTTTTTTTTGTGTCCTCTTTTGAAAATACCTTGTATTCTCACATCTGTAGCTACTAGTGGGTTTTTTACCCATTCTAGGTTTTTATGTCTACCTGGTCTATTGATTTATTCCCTTCTGGCAATTACAGAGGTGGTAATAATCTCAGAAATAATCTTGTATACATTGGCATAGCTTTGGCCAGAAATAGTGTGCAAGAAGGCATGGGAAAATAAAACATTGGTTATGGGCTCAGCTTCCTGTGAAGAGTTCTTAAAGCACAAAATATCATTGTTCTGATTTTGACCTTAAACTAAGATGCAGCTGTGCTGCAGTTGAGAGCCTCCCACCTTCACATATCTGGTGTATAAAAGGTAATTTAAGAGTCCTGCTGTAAAACTTGCCTTGCAGTGGTTGCATATATCAGTTTGCATTTTTGATGCTATGACCAAGCAAAGCTCTGGCATGTTGTCATAGAAGAGCTGATAGTGCCCTCTGAATACATGGCAAAAATGTGTCAGCTTTAAGGAAACAAACCTTGTTGATTTGGGTCCCCTGGTAGCAACAGTCCCAAAGAAAGGGAAAAGTGTAAAGGGAAAAGCAGTCTGGTGCTCCACAGAGTGTTTCCTGTGTGTTGGTTAGCTGCTGATACTGTGGTGCTGTCCTACATCACAGGTTGTGTTTCTCTAAGGCTGGTGAGAAAGGCCTCACTGAATAACAGCACGAGAGAAGTATGTTGTGTGACCTGATTTGTTGTGAAATTCAAGAGTGAATGGAGAATCCTATCTAAGCAAGGGACAAGTGTGTGCTGCAAGACCTCTGGAAGGAAGGCATTAAGGAACAAGGGGGTGAGCACAGTTCACTAGACCTGCATTTCTCTCCTGGACTGTGGGGCTGACAAGGGTGAGAGGTGGACATTAAACTGCAGCTAGATGAAGTGGTCTGATAGGCAGGGTCTCACTGAAGGCCATCCTGTCTTAGAAGCAAGGTGTTTTTCACTTCATTTCTTCTAGCTTGTGCTATTTTTGTTCTTAATTGTTAAGACCATATGTTTTAAATTAATCTAGGCTCTTCCCAGCTTACCTTTGCTTCCGTAAGGAATGGTCTGGGAGTGGACTGGAATGTGAAAAATGTTAATAGTATTCACCAGGGAAGTCTGAGTTGAGAAATACTTGGCGTCATTCTTCACCTGTTCAACAAGGGATTTCCTTTTTTTTTTCCTTGCCTGTTAAACCTTATGCATGCTAAGTGAGTAGTAAGACAGTATCTTCTCAGTTGCACCATTAAAATTGACACTTGTGGAGAGGGGTGATCAGATGTGCTAACATGATAATGTGATGTTTCTAGCATGCTGTTCGGGTTCCTTACAAAAGCTGGCGGGGGCATGGTCTGAGATGAAAATAAGCTGAAACAAATAGCTGTTCAGGGTTTGGGATGATAAGGCCCCCAAGTTCTGCTGCTAAAGCATCTGATTTGATAAAGGGTGAAGAGCTTCTATTTCTAGGCAGTTGTATCATCAAGTTAAAAGAACAAAATATTTGTGTTCCGTTAAATCTCCTAATGCGTAATACTCTGTTAAAAAAAGCAGATTTCTTTCTCCAAGGATTGTAATTCCCACAGGATGTGGAGGATCCTAATGCAGCCAGATTACTTGTGCAGTGCTTTGGCCATGTCCCTCTAAAGGAAATAACCTCAGTTCCTTTTCTTGTGTTCAAAAAGCTTTGGTATCTGTCCTGTGCCAAGCTTTCCTGTTCTGGCCTTTCACAGCCAGCTCCCTGGGCTATAGCCACGCATTAATTCAGAGGGGTTCTCTGCTCTTCCTCTTGACTGTTGCAGCTGCTGATGCAAGGTCTTAATTTCTGGCATGATTTATTTAACTTTTTCCTTCTCTGGTGTTCATGGAGCAGCTGCAGACTGAGTGGGTCTTCATGCAAGGGAATGAGTACTCCTGCAGGAATGTGCCAGCAGCTACTAAAAAGGCAAGATAATTAACGCTCTTTTCCAAAGCATCCGGGATCCAGGAATACAAATTAGTCCTTGCAGGGGCAGTATAGCAGTATTTGGAACAAAACACTGAAATGGGCTTGTAGCATGGGGGATGGCTGAGTTTGGCAGTTGCTGCAGAATACAGGATGTAATTATTCAATTTCATATAAGCCATTATGTGTTTGTTTATTTTCTCTTGCCACCTTCTTTCCATTTGTGGTCTCATCCTTCTTCAAGCTAGTAAGAAAATTAAATTGCAGGTATTTATGCCTCACTCAAATTTAAGTGGGTAGTAGTCAAATAAGTCCCCAGAAATTATTAGTTAGAGTGCTTTCTTACTAAAACTCCTCTCCTGAATTTTCTGTCGCTTAGGCTGTTAATACAGCAGACTTTGGATATTTCAGGAAGCACAATTTGTATTAGTTGATGCTTTCTCTGTCATCTAAGTGTAAACTTCTGGCCATTTTAAACTTAATGGCACAGATGCAGGGATTTGCATGTAATATAGATTGTGCTTTTATTTTCTCTTCTGTTAACCACAGCACTGGAACTGCTAAATCAGATTAAACCAGTGGGCTTTAGAAAAGCATCCTGTCGAAAGGCTTCGGGAGAATGTCTAAGAAATAGCCTGGTCAGACAGTGACCTGGGTAATCTTTTTTGAAGTTACTCCATGGCTTCTGTCTGAAACATGGTAACCTAAAACTTCACTAGTTTTAAGGTGGGAATCGCACTCACTGAGCTTTTAATTCTTACTTACCAACCTTCTTCAGGGGTGCTTTAAATTCAAAACAAACTCCTGAGTTCGAGGATAGAGCTCAAACTGGAATATTTTAGTTATACTTAAATATGTTCCTGTTGCCCAATAATTCTCTGGAGGTTTTTCTTTTTTTTTTTTGTTGCTATGTATACAAAGACTTGTCTGTGCCTTTTTAAGGATCCTTTTTGTGCCTCTAACTCTTCCTTTTTGTGTCCTTTTAATGTGAAGCAACGAGAACTAACCACAGGATTTCAGATTAGGACTGTGCTATTGACTTATTTCAAAGCATTTCAGAGTAACGTTCTCTAGTCTTACTGCCCACAAGGGGGCTTAATGCAGTTTCATCAATCCACTTTATAGCAGTGCTTTCACGTAACTCGGATTAACCTCGTGCTATCCCCTGTGCAGAAAAGGTCCTGTTTTACGCTGGTGTAAATTGCAGCTAGGCCAGCCTTGGTTGGGTGCGGTGCAGTGGAGGATCACACTGCAGGCAGCCAGGGAAGACAAACACATCCGATTCATTTGCCAGGCCTCAGAGGACGCTGGAGATGGGAAGTAATTCCGAGACAGCGTCCAGGTGTGCACCCAGGTGGGTGCTTACCAAGGACTGCTCCTTGCCGGCTGAAGTCATTGCCCACGATTTGCCTGACGATC